CTGGGCCTGGGGGAGCCCCTCCAGGGCTGTTTTCTGGGGGCCCATCTCGCTCTGGCCCAGGTTCCCTGGGGATCCCCCCTCAGCCCAGGGAACCTCAGGAGCCAGGGTGCCCTGGTGAGCATGTGGCTGGGACTCCGGGTAGCAGTTTCACTCACTCCACCCTGGCGGCTCCGGAGCAGCCAGAGAAAGTCTGGGGCGGCAAGTGCCCGAGCAGCCTCTTGGCGCCCAAGCCCAGCCCCCGGCAGGCGACATCCCCAGGAAGCTCAGGCCACCTTGGTCTCAGGCCCGAGCCAGGAACCCACTCACAATAGCACGGACTTCAGTTTAAAAACACCAGGCTGAGCGGAAATAAGGTTACTGGCTGGGGCCAGATCTCTTTCCGGAGGAGGAGGGGGCGCCCTGGACTGAAACCGGCCTTGAAAACTATGAGGCAGGAGAGGCGGTGGAGGGAGGGCCTGGCCGGGAGGGAGGCCTCCCCGGCGCTGACTTCTGCTTTGTCTGAAGCGGGCAGGATGTGGCCCTTGGAGGATGTGGGTTAACTAACAGGGAGCCGCCGGCGGGCACCTGAGGCCCCCCTGGGAGGGCGGCGCTGTCCACCAGTGCAGCCACCGTGGCTAGAACACAAACTCTGCAAACCCAGCTCCGTCCCGGCACCACGGGTGTACGGGGAACAATGCCACCCGCGTACTAAACGCACCCTTGCGGGCGTGCAGTTCCGTCTTCCAGAAACACAGGGTGGATGCCGAAAACTGCGCTCAGCTGGACCTAGCGGCGAAGGAGGCCCAGAAGGCACACACGACATCTGTCTGCGCTCTGAGCCGCACCCATCCACATCTGCGGCCGACTTCCCACCCAACCTCAGACGTCCCCCCTCCCTCCTCCCCTGCAACCCCCCCACGCCCACCGCCACATGCACCCGGCAGTACACAGGAACCGTATTTGTTGTCCTTTTTTTAAAATTTCTTATCCACAACACTTGTACAACTGTTTTTTAAGGTTCTTATCTTTCTTTTTAAATGTGCTTCACCCTGGCCAGATAGGTAGCTCCGCTGGTTAGAGCATCGTCCTGACACGCCAAGGTTTCAGGTTCGACCCCAGGTCAGGGCACATACAAGGGTCAAGCAATGAGTAAGTGGAACAACCAATCGATGTTTCCCTCTTTCTCTCTGCCTCCCTCCCACCCCTCCCCCCACCCCTCAAATCAATAAATTAGATTTTATTTTAAATTCTTAAAAACAAAAACATCAAACATGCTCCAGTGAGGCTTCTGGGTATTGTGTCCTTAGCCCTGTGTTCTAACAAGGCCCCTGGCGTTCACTGCATGGCTCTGCACAGCTCAGGAGTCATGGGAGTGCAAGTGCGTATTACAGCATTAATATTATGTAAAGTGCTCAGCACAGCGCCTGGCACGTGATAAGCACTGAATCAACTGTAACTTGTTAATACTAAAAAGGAGAAAGAGAGAGCGAGAGAGTTTACTTACACATCTAATGAGCTAAGATCTAGGGGCACTGAGCCATCCCCGGAGGAACGCGTGAGCATTTAGAATACAGGAAGAGACGTCAGGAATGAAGGCTGACATAAAACACCCTAGGTGGGTATGAGTACAACCCTGCACTAACATTTTTTTCACCATAAAAACCTATAAAGTCTGGAAGGAAATAAACCAACAAGTCAACAGCAATTGAAGGGACTTAGAGTGGTTGTCTATTTCCGTTTACCCCCCAATTTTGCAAACTCATAAACCTTTTAAAATCTTAAAGACAACCTAAGACCCAAACCCAAGCAATTTTCAAGAAGCAGAAAATCACCTCAGCCTGCTAATCCAGCTTAGGGTGGGCCCACTCTGCCTGTGTTCAGCATGGGAGTGTGTATCTGTTTCATCCGATGCTATGACAGCAAGCACCAATCACTTCCTCCCCTTTCATGTCTTCAAAATAAAGACTACTTTTAAGAGCAAGAATGTTTAAATCATGTAGCTTGTGACCTTTACTTTGTATCTAGTAATGAACTAGAAAGTGACTTTGTTTTGAAATTAACTTGCAACTGCATGAGGATTAGGTAAGAATGAGCTTGACTTTGCTCAAAAATCAATGCTGCCCTCTTCTTTGTTCTCCTGAGGCCGCCCGATGGCTTATCGGGGAGAAGAGGAGGAAAGGGGATGCGGACTGCCAATGCCTGGGCTTTGAGCCATCAGGCCTGTTGTCAGAGTCCTCTCCTGACGGTGTCCAACAAATTAGCAAAGGCTTCAAGAAAGCCGTCAGGACCTGCTGGTTCTAGGCCAGGGAGAGAAATGGTGCCGGCCACCACCTGTCCAGCTCCCGGCCAACTGGTTCCCCAGGCACCACGACAAAATGCAAGTTCTGGTCTCCGCCATAACACCTAGACCAGCGGTCGGCAAACTGTGGCCCCTTGAGTGTGGCTGTTCCACAAAATACCACGTGCGGGCGCGCACGTACAGTGCGATTGAAACTTCATGGCCACACTCAAGGGGCCAAAGAGCCGCATGTGGCTCGCGAGCCGCAGTTTGCCGACCCCTGACCTAGACTGAACCTCTCCCCAGCGCTGCCCTGGTGGCCACGCCAGGAAAGAATGAAGTGGGAAGGAGTTATGGCCCCAGGTTCGCCTTCAGTAAAGCAACACCTGCTTCCACTTCAGCTCTCAGGGACTCAGCAGCACTTTTCCAGGACTGGGGGCCTGAGTGACAGGGACCTCTGACCCAGGATGGGTCTCCTTAGGGAGCAACTCAGGGAAGTGTTCAACTGAAGCCCAGAGCCACGGGCTCCAGTCCCTTCCTCTCCCTGGACCCTACTATCCCCACACATAACACAGGGTTGGGTTAGAGCACAGGGTCACACACTCATGTCCGGCAGGTGATTCGATACATCGTCCGGGTGTGTCAGCCCTCACACAGCCCGTGTGGTCTAGCGTTCCCTTGTCTTGATGAGCAAATCAGGGGTTTAGAGGGGGGGGTGGCCTGCAGCCAGTCCACAGCTTGGAGAACTAGACTCACTTTAAAAAGGGGTCCACCGGCTCTGAAGAGCCGGGAGGAGATAAAATAGCTCCTGAGCCAGAGTAGCCCCTTGGTATGAAACTTCCAGGGTAGCAGGGAGTTTTTTCAGGGCCGAAGCAGGAGGAAATGACAACTGAAACTGACAAGGGGAAATCTTAGCAGCATAAAAGCAAAGTTCTGCATTTAGGTTTGAAAGAAAACGAACCAGGCTATGAGGCCAGGATGCACTGGGGGAGAGAGACAAGACTGCAATGGAAAGCCAGCCCCTCCCGGAGAAAAAACATCCCTGGGAGCCAACAGCAAGCGCTAAGAAGGCCCTCGGAGCCTTCGGGAGAAAAGCGAAGGGTGTGGCGAGCTGACCCAGGGTCCAGCTGCTCTCCTGGTGGTCAGAGCGCATTTGGAAGCACGGGCTCCGGCCTGGGAAGACAGGACAACGGCATGGGCCCCGGGGGAGCCACAGGCTCAGGACAGTTTCCTGGTGCCACGAGGACAAAGATGCAGCTCTGAGAAGGGTAAAGAAAAGATGTGCTGCCAGGAGAGAAGGTGCCCACAGCCCTCAAATACAATACGGGCAGCGAAGGGCAGCGAAGCAAGGCAGCCCGAGAGGCTGCCACGAGTGTGAGTGAGAGTGTGAGTGACGGCTCAGAGGCCCGCCCCTGCAACCACAGAACCTTTGCTCCAGCGAGGGTTCCACCCTGTAACAGGAAGTGCCGGCTCACTGGGGAGGTGCGAAGGTAACAAAACAGGCACCCAACCCAGATGGGCCTCGTTGCCTCAAAATTGCCTCCAGAGCAGTGCTTGTCAAACTGTGATGTGCTTAGCTACCACCTGGGATTTCTTTTTTAATCGATTTTAGAGAGAGAAGACGGGAGAGAGAAACATCGATTTGTTGTCCACTTACTTACGCATTCATTGGTTGATTCCCGCATGTGCCCACTAGAGATTGAGCCGGAAACCTGGACATATCCGGACGACACTCTAACCAACTACGGTACCCGGCCAGGCTCACCTGGGGTTCTTCCTAAAAGACGCTACACCCAAAGAGAGCAGGTTCTGAGAGGGGTCTGGTGAGAAGGGGGGCGGTAAGAGAAGCCCCTTCTGAGGCCCGGCCTCCTAAAGGGCAGTCCTGGGGTCGGAGTGGTCTACAAGCTGGAGGGGAGGGGGCTGGCGGCTGACGAAGGAGGCACGTCCTGGAGGATTCTCTCCCGTTTCCTGGGGAAAGGGAGGCCCCGCAGGGAAAGGGTGGCGTCAAGCCCGAAGTGTTTGGGTCCCAGTACAACTCGGCCACTCGGAACTGGTTCACAGGAGCGGGAACCGGACCATGCCCTGCTGCAAACATGCCTAGAATTAATCAGCTCTGCCAGCCGCGCTGCACAAACGCCCCGCTGTCCTCCTCCAGGGGAAAGGTGACTGAGGCCGCGAGACTCCCCGGCGGTGACTCACCCACAGAATCAAATATGACCCCGCAGGGCAGCCCCAGCTCGCTTCTCCAAACCCACCCTCTCCCTCTAGACCGCCCCAGCCCCGTCCCGCGCGCCGTTTCCTCTCTCAGGTGTGTCCCCAATGCCACGGTCCCAACCCTTCCAGACGCAGCCGAGTCCCTAACCCTCGCCGGGGCAGTCATTCCCACGGCGTGTGTGGGCGCTGCTTCCAGTCTCCTCGCATCACAGTATTGCGTGCCCGCCTCGGGGGGCCCCTCGGAAGCTAAGGTCCCATAAGCGCCCCTTTGTCTCCCCCTCCGGCGCCGAGCGCGGTGCCAGACGCACAGGAAGTGCTGACACTGAGCCGGGAGGGAGCAGGATCCGTGTCCAGAGGGGGCGCCCAGCGCGCGGGGCTCAGCGAGGGTCCCTCCAAAGAACAAGGGTCCCCGCGACAGGAGCCCCGAACCCCGAGTTTAAGTCGGGGCAGCCCCTCTGCGCCCTCCCGAGCCGTGACGCCCTGACGCCGGCTGAGCGGAGCCCGGGCCACCCGCCCCCGGCGCCCTCACCTTGTAGACCTTGCCGAAGGCACCGTCGCCCAGCTCGCCCACGATCTCCCACACCTCGTTGGGATCCAGGTCCCGCCGGACGTGCTCATATTCGCGGGACTTTCTCTTCTCGAAGGTGGACAGGCGCAGGATGCGGCGGAAATTGGCGAAAGCCATGGCCGGGGGCGCGCGAGCCCGGGGGCGAGGTGGCGCCGGCTCGGGCTCGGGCTCGGGCTGCGGCTCGGCGGCCGCGAGGAGGAGGGGCTGCCGGACGCCGCGGCGCTCGGGGGTTCTCCCCAGACCCGCCCTTCCCCGCAGCCCGACCCCGGTCAAGTGCGCCCGGGGCTGCGCGCGGCGGGAGCACCCGGAACCTCTCGGGCGGCCGCGGGCCCCGCCCCCGCTCGGTCCCGTCTCCAGGGACGCCTCCCGCGTGCCGGCCCCGCTGGCGCCGCGCCCACACCCTGCCCGCGAGCCGTGGGACGCGGCCTGGGACCCGCCCGCGCCCGCCCACCGGCCCGGCTCCACCTGCCGCTCCCGGCTGCGCCCGCAGACCCCCTAATTGGCTGGGGCGCTCCCGGCTCCGCCCGCCGCCGCAGGGCACTCTGGAGGCTGTAGTCCGCCGCGCGCCCGCGAGCTCAGGGTGGGTCCTGGGGGGTTCTAGGGAACCCCCGGACGGAGCCGTCCTGAGTCTGGGAGACCAGCCGCGCCTTGTGGCGCCCCAAGTTTCTTTGCCAACGAGACGGGGAGGGAATTGGCCTTTCCTGAGAGCGCCCCGATTGTCGTCCGAGGGCCAAGAAGGTGAACCGGCTTTAAGCATTGAATCCGCCCCCGACCCGCCCTCGAGGTTGCGCTGCTCGCGCCCGCTTTTCAGGTGGTGGCGCCCGGCTGGGGAAGCACCGGCCCGGGGCTACCCTTCCGCCGGCGGGTCCGGTGCGGGATCCTCGGCGCGGTGCCGCCTCCTACCGCGCGCAATGCTGCGCCCCCGCGGCCGCGGGCGGTCCCCGGAGGCCCCGGCTTCCCGGATCGTTTCCTGCTTCCCAGGCGCTCCCGGACCAGACCCAGAGCCGGCCGGCGTCGGAGCCTGGGAGAAAGGGCCCCTGGGGACTCATCACAGGCTTCACGGTGGATCTCCAGATGTGTCTGCATATTAAGTTAAAAGCTTCTGGTTCTTAATTTCCCAGTTTAAATAAAGTGTCCTGTATGCAGCTCCTTCCATGGTGAGCTTCCTGTTACACTCCCCGCTTTTACTGAGCTATTTTCTTCTCTCTCTCTCTCTCAAATATGTTTTATTGATTTCAGAGAGGAAAGAAGAGGGAGAGATAGAAATATCAATGATGAGAACCACTGATCTTCTGCCTCCTGCACGCCCCCTACTGGGGATTGAGCCCGCCCACCGGGCATGTGCCCTTGACTTGAAGTGAACCTGGGACCCTTCAGTCCTCAGGGCGAGGCTCTAGCCACTGAGCAGAACCGGCTAAGGTCTCTCTCTCTCTCTCTCTCTCTCTCTCTCTCTCTCTCTCTCTCTCTCAATGATAATGCCCAGCGCCATGCTCACACCTTGTCAATGTGAATAAAAATGTGTACTTTGAAAGTGAGTTTGGAGAAGTTCTCAAATCTTTTTTTAACCTTTGTATTGAATTTAATGGGGTGACATTGGCTGATAAAATTATGTTTCAGGTGCACAGTCTATCATACACCATCTGTATGTATTGTGTGTTTACCACCCGCAGCCAGGTCTCCTTCCATCACCGCTTACCCCCACTGTACCCTCTTGTACCTGCCCTCTGCCCCGCTTCCCTCTGGTAACCACTATACTCACAGGCGTTCTCTTGTTCCCCAACCCTCAATGCAAACCAGTTACTCCTCTAAGTTCCTGCCTGATTCCTTCTCAGCTCTTCAGAGCTGCAAGGATTTCATCCCTAAATTCGTTAATTGTACGGAAGTTGATCCATATAGCACTCCTATGATATTTCTAAATTAGAACTGCTTTGAAACAGTTTATATAACATAGACATGATTTGTTCCTTAATGGTTTTGAGAAACCTCCCCATAAAACCACCTGAGCCAGATATCTTTTCTTAGCGTTTCGTCATTGATTACTTTCTGGTTATTGGTTATGGTTATTGATTGATTCACATTTTTAACTCCTTCGTAAGTCAGTTTTCATAAAGTAACTTCTATTTATCTAAGTCTGTGCTGTCCAATATGGTAACTGTTGGGGTCCAACCCCAGCAGGTCCAGGGGTTCCCAAAGGTGTGGACAGAGACAGCGTTCAGTTGATCAGCAGCCTAGCCAGGTTCTCTCTTTATTCTCCTGTTACATCTGTATTTATACCAGTTGATTTTAATCCTATCCATTCTATTCCAAAGGTTATGGCGTTTGTTGTCTCCATTCCAAGGTCACTACTCTATTGTTCTGTTAAGCTACAAGGAAGTAACTGAAGGAGATTATCCTAAGTAAAGATTATGTAGCTTAAGCGTGATTGTTCATAGTTAAAGTGATTAACTACCCACCTGGCACTTAGTTAAGGGGTTTTACTGATTTATTCCCTTCCTTAGTCCTGTTAATCCCTAACTCCAGGGGAAAATCCCCACCTGGGGAAACAAACTTTCTCAGAGAGGTGACCTTGGTTAAAACACAAAGCGCTAAGAAGGGGAGCAAACATATGCCTTATATGCCAGGTCCCTTGGAACATAAGCTGTGCAGATGTTTCTTCTCTGCAGCGAATGTGTCAAGCAGCAAGGGTGGACCGGCTTCCGGCAGGTAACCACTAACTAGATGTCGCTATTAAGCATTCAACATGGCCCTAGCCTGTTTGGCTCAGTGGATAGAGTGTGGGCCAGCAGACTGAAGGGTCTGAGGTTTGATTCCAGTCCAAGGCACCTACCTCCTACCTCAGTTTCAGGCAACATCCCTAGCAGAAGGCAATCAATCAACATCCATGTTTCTCTCTGTCTCTCCCCCTCCTTCCACTCTCTAAAAATGGAAAAATATCCTAGGGGGAGGATTAACAGAAACTAAAAATAAAAAAAAAGAAAGCACCCAATATGTAACTAGCCCAAATAGAGATGTGCTATAAGTATAAAATACACACTGGGTTTCAGAGTTACTATAAAATGGATTGTACAATTTCACTTATATATGGAATCGAAAAGAAAAAAAAAAGCATAAACCTGAACTCAGAGAGCAGACTGGTTTCGAGGAATGGGGAAATGGTGAAGGTGGTCAAAGGGCACAACTTCCAGTTGTAAAATGAATAAGTTCTGGGCATCTAATGTACAGCATGGTGACTACACTTAACTGTGCCGTGCCAGCACGGCCAAGGGTGAACCTGAGGAGGGGCGGTGAAGGATTGAAGAAGAGACAGGGAATACAGCTGGGGCTCGGTGGATCTCCCCTGCCTGGACGAGGACACCAAAGACCCCGCCTGCAAGCCAATGCTTTATTTATAGTCTGATTAAAACAAGGGTAGATTAACATGCATACAAATGTTCTTGTTTTGGCAGCACTTGTTGCACCTCCCACAGCCCATTAGCTACTTAGGAAGGAATTAGGGAGGGCGTCAGGCTTCATTCTGCTGGGAGAGCTCTGCCCTCCAGACTGGGACTTGTTTGTGGCCCTGCCACAGGCCAGCCCGAGGCCTGACCCTAGAGCTGTTCCCTACACTTAACAATACTGTATTGTACACATGAAAGTTGCTAAAAGAATAGATCTGGAAAGTTCTCACCAGAGACAAACAAATAAATATGAGGTGATAGATGTGTTCATAACCTTATTGTGGTAAGCATTTCACAATATGAACCTATGTCAAATGATCCCATTGTACATCTTAAACTTACACGATGTTATATGTCAATCATATCCCAATAAAGCTGGGGGGGGGGGGAAAGGATTCTAAAAGAATTTTAGAATATATTGATTACAAATTGAAATATTTTGGATACATTGGATTAAATAAAATTATCAAAACTAGTTTCATTTTTTAAACGTATACACCAGAAAATTTAAAGCTACATGTGTGATGTATTTGTAGCTTGTGTTATATATTTTTTGGATGGAGCTCATTTAGATTTCCAAAGTATTGGTATAGAGTTGTGCATAGTATTCTTATATATATTTTAATCTCTTCCTTATCAATAGCTTCCTTTCTCATTACTTTTTTGTTGTTTGGTTTTGTTAATCCTCACCCAAGGATATGTTTCCATTGATTTTTAGGGAGAGTAGAAGAGAGAGGGAAAGACTCAGAGAAATACCTATGTGAGAAAAGCACATCAATTGGTTGCCTCCTGCAAGAGCCCCGACCAGGGCCTGGGCCAGGGAAGAGCCTGCAACTGAGGTACAGGCCCTTGACCGGAATCAAACCCAGGACCAACGCAGGCCGACGTTCTATCCATTGAGCCAAACCAGCTAGGGCCTCATTCTTACTTTTTTAAAATCTTTTATCATACTTGCCAAAAAAAATTGTCTGTTCTTATTGATCTTTTCCTAAAACCAGCTTTTTAACTACTAGTTTATATAAAATAGGGGAGACAGAAGGACATGTTAACACATTGGAGATAAAATCTGCACAAATCAAGAGTGTTTTCCTCCACATGACAATCTGGATTCTCCAACAAATAAATTGCAAAAAGAGTAAGAAAGATAGAAAGGGGGAACTTCACAATACTTATGAAGTGGTCTAAAGGTAACATGTAGATCTGTTTGGAGTCCTGAGTTGAATAATTTATCTGTTAAAAATATACCATAAAAGGTGGGGGGGGGGAGCAATTGGGGAGAAAGGAGACATATGTAATACTTTAAACAATAAAAAAATGTAAAAAGGTATATAAATGTCTAGTCTCTGTTCTGCACCTGAATCTAATATTATATGTCAATCATATTTAAAAACAAATTTTAACAAACAGCGACATTTTCATGCTGACTGGATATTTGATAACATTAAGAGATAGTCATTGTTTCTTTTTAGGTATAAAAGTATATGGTTATATATTTTTTTAAAGTCACTCTTTTTGCAATATTGAAATTTTTACAGGTGAGAAGTCATAGCTTAGATTTGCTTCAAAATAACACAGAGATGGTGGTAGTGGGTGGGTGGAGTATCGATGAATCAAGATTGGCCCTGAGTTGATCATTATTGAAGCTAGGTGGTTACATGCAGGTGTATCACACTAACCCGCTTTGGGACAGGGTTGAAATGTTTTGTTATAAAAAACGTGAAGAAAAAAAGATCCTGTTTATACTAATCAAGCTTACTGTTTTGTTTTCTGGTTCACTTATGTGTGTTTTGGTCTGTAAACATTTCTTTCTTTCTCTGGTTTTATGTTACTTAATTTTCTGGGTTCTTTTAGAATTATGTGCATTGTTCATTGCTTGTTTTCTAATAAACACATTTAGGCTATAAATATTCCTCTGAGAATCACCCTGGCCGTGTAACATGTTCTCATACGTGTGCAGTTTCTCGTTCCTTTCCAGTGTGTGCTTTGCGTTTAGAGCTGGTCGTGTTTTAGTGAAGGAGGGGTAACCAGGTTAACGGGAGGTGAGGGCAAGGCTGGAAAACTGAGAGGAAGCCCTCATAATTTATTATTCTTTTTAAAATATATTTTTATTGATTTCAGAGAGGAAGGGAGAGGAAGAGAGAGATAGAAACATCAATGATGAGAGAGAATCATTGATTGGCTGCCTCCTGCACACCCCACACTGGGCAACCCGGGCATGTGCCCTGACCAGGAATCGAACCATGACCTCCTGGTTCATAGGTCGATGCTCAGCCACAGAGCCATGCCGGCCGGGCTGGCTAGACATTTTTTAGTGACTACTAGTATTTCCTACACTGTTTTATCGAGGAAGACCTCCCGCCAGAGCTTCTTGGTGTCCAACATTCTAGTTCCGAAGCTGCATTCTCTGCTCCATTGCCGGTTGCCAGCGCCATGGGCATGAGGAGCTCCAAGATGAAACTGAAGACAGGCTCGTTTCTGTGGTGCCTCTACCTGGACAAGCTCTACTGCCTGCTGTCCGTGAGGAACGTGAGGGCCTTGGTGGAGTACTTCGGCCTCCTCGACCCACACCACCTCAGCACCATGAACGGTCAGTGCTGTCAGAAACGTCTCCGCGGGGTCGTGACCTGGTGTCTAGTCACCAACTCACACTGAAGACTGGTGGCAGCTCAGTGAGGAGGACACAACTGCAGGCTCTGGGTTTAAATCCTGGCTCTGCCCCTTACCCCTTGGAGATCTGGAGAGTGTCATCACCCTCTTTATTATTTATTTACCAGAGGCCCGGTGCACAAAATTCATGCACTGGAGGGGAGGGGAGTGGGGGGTCCCTCAGCCCAGCCTGCGCCCTCTCTCGCAGACCAGAAACTCTTAGGGAGATGTCCGACTGACGGCTTAGGCCCAAGCTGTCAGTCAGACATCCTTAGCGCTGCCGTGGAGGTGGGAAAGGCTCCCGCCACTGCCGCTGTGCTCGCCAGCCTTGAGCCCAGCTTCTGGCTGAGTGGCGCTCCCCCTGTGGAAGCACACTGACCACCAGGGGGCAGCTCCTGCATTGAGCGGGATTGAGCCAAAACCAGCTCTCTGACATTCCCCAAGGGGTCCCAGATTGCAAGAGGGTGCAGGCCAGGCCAAGGGACCCCCAGGTGCACCATCGGGGCCAGAAGAGACATGGGAGGTTGGCCAGCCAGGGAGGGACCACGGGAGGGCTCCAGAGCGTGTCCAGCCCATCTTGCTCAGTCCTAATTGGCCGGATCCCAGCAGCAAGCTAACCTACCAGTCTGAGTGTCTGCCCCCTGGTGGTCAGTGCAGGTCATAGTGACTGGTTGACTATCTGCCCCCCTGGTGGTCAGTGCATGTCATAGCAAGTGGTTGAGCAGCCTTAGCATATCATTAGCATATTACACTTTGATTGGTTGAATGGATAACCAGACGACCAGACACTTAGCATATTAGGCTTTTACTATATAGGATTTTTTCTTCAATTTCAGAGAGGAAGGGAGAGGGAGAGAGAGAGAGAGAGAGAAACATCAATGATGAGAATCATCGATCAGCTGCCTCCTGCACATCCGCTACCAAGGATCAAGCCCGCAATCCAAGTATGTGCCCTGACCGGGGATGGAATCAGGACCCCCTGGTTCATAGGTCAATGCTCAACCACTGAGCCACAGCAGCTGGGCTCAGCACCCTGTTTAAGTCTCACTTTCCTCCTCTGTGAATGAGGATTCTAATAATGGAGTCCATCTCATGGTTGGGGGAGAATATAATTACATGAGGCAATTATGGAAAATGCATGGTACCTGGTGAGGACTTGGCATTCACTGTCATTGTAATTATTCCTGGAGGTCAACCCCCCTCATCAGCAAGACTTCTCATCTGACAAATGGGATGTTTGTATCAAATAAATGATATGCAAGGTCCCTTCTAATTCTAAGGGGTTTCTTCCATAAAGATTTTTAAGAGTTCATTCAATCTTTAAAATATAATAAAAGGACACCTTCATTTTCTCATCATTTCCTGCCTCAGTGTTTCTCGTTACGCATAGATTTTTCTTTGCAAAAACCCAGTCCGTGATCACGCAGCTGCAGGGCACCAAGCTGTAAACAGAAAACCTGGGACTGAAGCCCATGGCGTTCGGACTCCAAAGCCCACTCTTAGTCTCACCGGAATGTCTGCTGAGTCTGGTCTCCCTGGCAACTCCCTCCCTCCCTGATGATGCAATACCCAAGAGGGCAGGCTGCGTCTTCTGGTCGCCAAGGGACTGGATAGTGACCTGAAAGCGTGAGACACAGCCCTGAGTACTGCCTTCCAGGCAGGGGGTGTGACTTATGGGAAATGCATAGCACCTGGTGAGGACTTAGTGTTGGCTGTCATTGTCATCATTGACTTAAGGCCCTGGAGACTTGAGTGGGCCAGAGCCAGCTGCTTTAAAAACAGCATTTGTTGCCCAGTCGGTGAGGCTCAGTGGTTGAACATCAACCCATGAACCAAGAAATCCCCGATTCGATTCCCAGTCAGGGCACATGCCCAGGTTGTGGGATCCATCCCTGGTAGGGGGTATGCAACAGGCAGCTGATCAATGATTCTCTCTCATCATTGATGTTTCTCTCTCTCTCCCCCTCTCCCTTTCTCTTTGAAATCAATAAAAATATATTAAATAAAAAAAAAAAAAGAAAGTAGCTACTAAGTCCCACACAAAAACAACTCTCAAGAAGCAACTGCACAAACATCATTGGAAATACACACACACACACACACACACACACACACACAGTAGGGGTCCAGTGCACAAATTCATGCACCTTGAAAGGAACTGTGGGCCGAGAGGCTGTGGTGGGCACAGGGGCGGGTCTCAGCCCATCCTCTGCATCCCTGCCTGACCCCTCCCACCGTGGCCCCTGGTCCCCTGTTTGCTGGCTGCCCCATTCCCACTGCTGCCTCTCCCACCCGCAGACGACACGGCTCCCACCTGCTGATGGCACAGAGCGATTGGGGCCGGCACCATCAGCGGGTGCGAGTGGCAGCTGCTGCCCCTATTGCCTCTCAGGAGCAGGGGGAGGTGGAGAAGTCCTCATGGGTGATGGGGGCTGGCAGGCACCGCTCACACCTACTGACTGATGGCACCGAGTGATTGGGGTCCGCCGCGGGTGCAAGCACCAGGTGGGACCGTAGCTCATGGGAGCAAAGAATTTTCAGTAACCACCAGAGGCTCGCCCTGATGACAGCAACCAGCACCCTGCCTTGGTCTGGCGCCCCCACTCACCTGCTCCACCATCCCGCTGTGGTTGATGCCTGCCATGTTCCATGCGTGCCCCCTGGTGGTCAGCACACGTCACAGCGACTGGTTGTTCAGTTTGATTGTTCCACCATTTGGTCTATTGGCATATCAGCCTTTTATTATATAGGATATCTATATAGTGTGTTGCTCCCACATGCTCATACCTGGAGAGGACTGGGAAGGATCTTCAAGAGACCATCAGAAGCCCCCGAACCAGGACATGTGACTGGCTCACTGTGACCTTAGCAAGCTTCCACTGGGACTCCAAACTGGAGATGCTCTGTGTGTAGGGGAGCCCTGTCTCCTGTAGGAGGAAGCTCTGTAGCCCGTGGGCTCGGGGAAATCGCATGTAGACAGTGACCCGTGAGACGCCCTCCGTGACCCTGGGTGATGCGTGTGCGCCGCCGCAGAGCCCCCCGGCACCGGATAAACCTATCACCACACTTGTTCCTTTCATCTTCGACCCCAAAAGCGATGATTAGTGAGTGGAATTTCAGCGCTGACCTTCCCTGTTCTTTACGTTACAGGATTGTTGTCTCTGCTTGTAGGACTGAGTATGCCTTAACGGCTCCACCCTGGCACCAGCAAGGCTGTGGCATCAGGTCACGTTCAGATCCCAGCGTGGCCCCTAAGGGTGGTCAGCAGCCGCGGCATCACCTGGAGCTGGTCAGAGATGCACGCCAGGTCCCAGGCCAGGTTGCACGCCGAGTTTCCCGCATCAGAGTCTGTGCTTCCACAAGACCCTCTGGTGACTGGTGTTGCTACCGTCGTAGCAGCGCTGCATAGACCAGTTCCTCTCTGAGGCTCCTTATGAGAGGGTGTGGTGCCCCTCTCCCTGCAGGGCTGTGCGTTCCAGGAGAGGTGGACTTTCAACGCTGAGCCCTAACGGCTTCACCAGCAGCGGTGCCTTCCCCTCGTAGCCAAATGCACTCACTTTCAGAGAAGCACAAGGCATATTGATGCTTTTATGGAAGGGGAATGATTTTTTAAATTTCTCCTGTTTGAATTGTCTCCTCCAATGAAAGGCCCAGGTGAAAGATCAGCTTCTCTATGGAAGTGTCCCAGGTCCCCAGTGAGAATTAGCTCTTCCTTCCATGTACGGGGAGCATGCGCCTTTCACTGGTCACTGCTACACACCTGTCCGCACGAGGAGTGCGTGAGCTGGGTCAGGAACCAAGTCCTCTCTGCCCTGGCTCTCTCGCCTCCGGTGCATCCTTTTCCACACAGCTCAAGGGCAATTAAGGGTTAAGAAATCGTGGAAGGTGCAGTGGCAAAGCCAGAAACAAAATAGTATCATTGCTAGCCCTGCTCAGTGGTTGAGTGTTGACCTCTGAACCAGGTCACAGTTCAATTCCTGGTCAGGGCACATGTCCAAGTTGAGGGCTCGATCCCCAGTGTGGGGTGTGCAGGAGGCAGCCAATAAGTGATTCTCTCTCATCATTGATGTTTCTCTCTCTTCCTCTCTGAAATCAATAAAATGTTTTTTTAAAAAAAGATTTTGAGCCCTAGCTGGTTTGGCTCAGTGGATAGAGCGTCCACCTGCAGACTGAAGGGTCCTGGGTTTGATTCCGGTCAAGGGCACATGCCTGGGTTGTGGGCTCGATCCCAATTGGGGGTGCGTGCAGGAGGCAGCCAATCACTGATTCTCTCTCATCATTGATATTTCCATCTCTCCCTTCCTCTCTGAAATATATATATATTTTAAAAAAAAAAAGATTTTGAAAAAAAGAAAATTGTTGCTTTTCCCAGGTCACAGGCTTCCAATATCAGTACCATCGAGGCGACTCCCAGTTTGTTAGCCTTTGGAGCTGTTTCTGAATAATCCATCTCCTCATTTCCCCCCACCCAACAGATATGATGTTCTACCACTTCCTTCATCACGTGACTAACTGCAATCGGAAACAGATCACGAGTGTGTTCAACATGCTGGACTGGGAGGCGGCGGGCGCGATCAGTTTTGACCAGTTCTACATGCTGGTGTGCATACTACTGGCACACGAGGCGAGTATCGGGCCGGGCCCTGTGGCAGCTGCCACCATCTTGCTAAAGGTAGCCCTGAATTAAGAGTACACCCAACATTTTCTTTCCTTTCACTCAAAACAGGAAGGAAAAAAATGTGGGGAAGAACTACTTCTGGTTCCCAAGTGGTCCATCCATAACCTAGACACTCCCAGTTGTTACCAGCCTCTCCCCCGCCACCTCCCCCTTCTCGGAGACTTTCCCAGAGGGATGGGTGGTGGAATGGGTTCCCGCCTGACCTGCACACACTTCTGGTGTGTGTTTACCTCCCGCTCGTTACCACCAGTGTCCTGACGCTTCACAAGTAGGTTTGCAGTCAAGGTGAGGACAGGCGTTCTAGTGGCCAGGGGTCTGTCCAGCACAGCGGTTCTCAACCTGTGGGTCGCGACCCCTTTGGCAGTCGAACAACCCTTTCACAGGGGTCGCCTAAGACCATCCTGCATATCAGATATTTACATGACGATTCATAACAGTAGCAACATTACAGTTATGAAGTAGCCATGAAAATAATTTTATTGTTGGTTTACAACATGAGGAACTGTATTTAAAGGGCCAGAAGGTTGAGAACCACTGGTCTAGCAGCCTAATCACTACAGACGGCTCAGTTCCCCTTGAGGACAGATGCCGGAGCAGGACCCGGAGCACTGACCACGGCACCCTTTCGCCCCTGAGCTTCTGTGATTTCCCCTTTTGCCTTTCGCTCTCTGGGGAATGGACTAGGGCGCAGAGGAGGAGTCTTGATGTGGCAAGTTGAGGAAGCAGCACCAACAATGCTGTTTCTTGGCGGACCCATTTCTCTCCAAACAGAACCACTTGGAAGAGCAATTTATCTTCCGCCATTCCCGGCCGGTCTTTGAGCTGCTGGACCTGGATGGGGCGCTGAGAATCGGGGCAGAGAGCTTCGAAAAGTACGACTTTCTCTTCAATATTAAAAAACACAACCTCCGAGAGTTCTACCAAGACTTTGACATCACCGGTGACTGTGTAAGTGCAGATCCCTCAGGGATGGCCTGGCAGCCTCTCTGTCCTGAGGTGGAGGGCAATGTCCTTCGACCTAGTAGACAGGTGAGGAGGGGGGTGAGAAAACCTGCTCCAGACATAGCCGGTTTGCTCAGGCCATAGGACCTCGGCCGGCAGTCAGAAAGGTCCTGGGTTTGATTCCAGTCAAGAGCGTATACCTAGGTTGCAGGCTCCTCCCTGGCCAGGGTCCTGGTCGGTGTGCATGCAGGAGGCAACCAATCAATGTGTTTCTCTCACATCGGTGTTTCTCTTTGTCTTTCCCTCTCTCTGAAAATCAATGGAAAAAATATCCTCAGGTGAGGGAAAAAAAAAAAAAGAAAAGAAATAAAACCTGCTCCAGCATGCCATGGCACTGGGGTCAGAAAAACTGGAGATTCATAGGCCCATGGAAGAGAGAGGACTGAATAAGTGCTACATACGAGAATATGGATACAAAATCACAGAAGCTTAGAGAAGGATATATATTAACTAGAGGCCCGGTGCACGAAATTAGTGCATGGGTAGGGTCCCTAGGCCTGGCCGGCAATCAGGACCAATCTGTGGGGCAATTGGCGGGATGATTGGGTCCCCCTGCTGGCACCCGCCTTGGCCCGTCTGGTGCCGCCTGCTTGCCGGCCCTGCCCCAATTGCCATGCTGCCAGATGCCTCCCTCTGCAGGAGGCAACTGGTGGGGCGATGTGGGGGGGCCTCTGCTGGCACACACCTTGGCTGGCCTGGGGCCTGTGGGCTGGGGGCAGCTCCTGTGTTGAGCATCTGCCTCCTGGTGGTCAGTGCACGTCATAGCAACTGGTCATTCCACCAGGCGTTCCTCCGTTCGGTCGATTTGCATATTAGGCTTTTATTATATAGGATATGGTGGGAGTTGGTGTTGGGGAAGGACATAGAGAGCTGAGTAAGTAGGAAGAAGAAATTCTGTGATGGAAACACAGGAGCAAAATCCTAAGAGACCACTATGGTGAAGACTGTGAATTCTGCCTATTTAACGAGGAAGTCCAGGAGGAGGTGAAGCAAGGAGGAGGTGAGGCTGAGAAAGGTGGATCACATCTGAACCTCAGATGCCAGCCTGAAGCATCTAGACTTGAAGTAAAAGAAAGCGACTCTCGGTTCCTTTAGAGCAGTGGTTCTCAACCTGTGGCTCGCGACCCCTTTGGGGGTCAAACGACCCTTTCACAGGGGTCGCCTAGGACCATCGGAAAACACATATATAATTAAATATTGTTTTTGTGATTAATCGCTATGCTTTAATTATGTTCAATTTGTAACAATGAAATTGGGGGTCACCACCACAGGAGGAACTGTATTAAAGGGTCCGGCATTAGGAAGGTTGAGAACCACTGCTTTAGAATCTACAATAGACGCTCTATCCCTGGCTCCTAGACTACAATCAGATGATAATTTTGTCCTAATTACTGAGCCTCTTTAAGTTTCCAAGTTTTTAAGTGAGAAATGCTTATAATCCTGCTGTCACCTGAAACAAAGTATCAAGTCCTCCCTGAAATAATTTTTCTTTTTATCCCCCAACAAAAGCTCCTGAATTACAAGGAATTTAAGCTGTTTACGATCTTCACCATGGACAAATACCAGGAGAAGCAGAAAGCAGAGAATAAGAAGGAGGAACAGAAGGCTCTGCTTGAAAAAGAATATGCCACACAAAGTTAAGGGGAAGGCAAACGAGAAACTTCTTGAAAGAAATTAATCTAAAAATACAAGTAATTATAACTGTTAGCATGTTTAAAAATAAATGTGAACACCAAAGTGGTATGTCTACACATTCACTTTGATATATGAAGGGTCCAAATGAGTGTTCCTCAAACAGAAAGTTCTTAACTTTGATAACCTATTGACCTCACATTCGGTACAAGAATGTCATGTGAAGTAACCACTCTCTTTATCCATCCACATGTCCCAGTTCTGCTGCTGCTTTTCACATCAACCCTGTTCATTAGGTCCCTGTGTATCCAAATAATTACCAACACTTCCAGGGGCTGAGCAGTTGAAACAAGGCAGTGCTTCCCCAGTATTAGTCCCTAGTGGTCCAACACTTCAAGACCCTTTCTAGTCTCCCAATCCTTAGGCTAAAACTACCTGGATGCAACACTTCAAAACGGCAAATGGTGAAGTGCCTCCAACCACAAGGGAAACTGACTTTTAAGGATACTGGGGCTGTGTTTTTCCTAGAATGTGAATTACTCTCTGAGTCAGATGCTTAAGCAAATGGATCACATCTGCTAGGGTAGCCCGGATGGTGTGGCTCAGTAGTTGAGCATCAACTGAACCAGGTCACAACTCCATTCCCAGTTGGGGCACATGCCTGGGTTGTGGGCTTATCGAAATTCTGCACTCGGGGCGGGGGGGGGGGGGCTCCCCTCAGCTAGGCCTGTGCTCTCTCACAGTCCAGGAGCCCTTGGGGGATGTCCGAATGACAGCTCTGTGGTGAGCGGACCTAAGCTGGCAGTCAGACATCCTTAATGCTGTGGCGGAGGCAGAAGCTCCCACCACCGCCGCTGTGCTGGCCAGCCATGAGCCCAGCTTCTGACTGAGCGGTGCTCCCTCTGTGGGAGCGCACTGACCACCAGGGGGCAACTCCTGCGTTGAGCATCTGCCCCCTGGTGGTCATTGCACATCATGGCGACCAGTTGTTCCGCCCTCAGGCTGAAACCAGCTCTGACATCCCCCTAGGTGTCCTGGATTGTGAGAGGGTGCAGGCCAGGCCGAAGGACCCTGCCAGTGCACAATCGGGGCTGGGGAGGGACGCAGGAGGTTGGCCAGCCAGGGAAGGGCCACGGGAGGGCTCCAGGGCGTGTCCAGCCTGTCTCGCTTAGTCCCGATCGGCCAGACCCCAGCAGCAAGCTAACCCACTGGTCGGAGCATCTGCCCTCTGGTCAGTGCATGTCATAGTGAGCAGTTTAGCGGCCTTAGCATATCATTAGCATATTATGCTTTGACTGGTTGAATGCCTGACTGGATGACCAGACACTTAGCATATTAGGCTTTTATTATATAGGATATTTTTATTAACACATTGTTTGTGGGTAGTTTTTATCGCGCGCTAACAGGTGGCGCGGGCCATTTTTGCTAATTTTTTGTGCAAATGGCAACATTCAGTAAAATTAAGATAACTTTAGTTTTACATTTTTTTTTCAATGAAACTTTTTGTGATTTACTTTAAAATGTATACTGAATTATTTTTCTTAGAATTGCACTGAATTAGTGGCGAGGCAGAGAATTGTGTGAAGGGATGACTCTACGCAGTTGAATAGATTACCGTTATACCTGGAAGTACATACATAATTCACCATTGTGTGTGTTAGAGACCCAAATTTTGTCCTTTGGAACTCGTATATCTGCATGTTAGCATCCCTTTAGAGCAATAAAAAAGTATAAAAATAAACGTATTTATACGTTACCCGCATTCTACTGCTAGTCTATAAAAAACGTATTAATACGTGTCCTGCGCTCTACTACCAGTCAACGTAATACGTATAAATACGTTTCCTGCATACAATGTGTTAATTTCAGAGAGCAAGGGGGAGAGAGAAAGAGATAGAAACATCAATGACGAGAGGGAATCATTGATTAGCTGCCTCCTGCACACCCCACACTGGGGATTGAGCCCACAACACTCAACCATGAAGTACCAACCTATAAAAAAAAAACTAAAAAAACTTTTTAAATGTATTTGTAGGTATACTTAAAATTAAGTTTCATTATTTTCACATTGAGTCAACCCACTGCTTTTAAGGATAGAGCTTATTAGACCAAGTACCTTTAACACGCTTTGGATGGTAGTAACACTGTATTATGACTATGTCATAGTTACATTAGAATTCCTGGGTCGCCGAAGCCGGTTTGGCTCAGTGGATAGAGCGTCGGCCTGCGAACTGAAAGGTCCCAGGTTTGATTCCGGTCAAGGGCATGTACCTTGGTTGCGGCCACATCCCCGTAGGGGGTGTGCAGGAGGCAGCTGATCGATGTTTCTCTCTCATCGATGTTTCTAACTCTCTATCCCTCTCCCTTCCTCTCTGTAAAAAATCAATAAAATATATATATTTAAAAAAAAAAAAAAAAAGAATTCCTGGGTCGACAAAGCAAGTCTGCTCAGGGGCCTGAGCAGTGGGTGGCAAGGGGCAGCAGTTGCAGGGGCAGGTGAATGGCAGGCTTGACTGAGGAGATGACTAGTTTCAGTCCAGGACCAGCCACAAAAGGGAAGAATTTTAGAGGTAGCTAATTAAGCAAAGTGAAATCATTTCTATTAGTTCTTAGTTCTCCTGTGTTATCTGGTGGCTCATGCCAAAAACAAAGGACTAGAAAGGCCACATCAAAATTGCTGACACCTGCTGAGATGGGCAGTCACCATTGTGAACAGCCGGGACCGAGCCAGAGGACAGAAATTACGGGAGACTGGCTACAACAAGGGAGGTTCGCAGCTGCACTCTACGCTTCTCTTCTTCCATAAGTAAAAATACTAAAACATAGCATTTGAGAGTTGGAGGTGGACACAGGTATTATTTACTAATTTGTCCTATTACTAATTTTACTTATTTACTAATCAACAAGAAAAGACTACTGAAATAGTAGTCTTAAAAACTGTCATAGTGATTTTCAAACATCAATGGGGAAAAGAGATGACAATTATTCAATAAGTAGTATCAAGAAAAGTAGGGTAGAAAGCTGGGAAAAAGTAAACCTGAGTTGCTACTTCCTTCCTTGCACCAGAATAAAACCATAAAATAAATACATGGGAATAAAACTGGTAAAATCTCAGAGTAGGTAAGACCTTTGGAAGTTATGAAAACCCAAAAGTCATAAAACATAAGACTAATAGATCTGACCATAAAACACTTAAAATTTGCACATGATCAATTACATAAAAAGAAAAATCAATGTGATAGAAAATGACTAATTTCATTAATATAGAAAGAGTTCTTGCAAATCAGGAGGGTAAAGACCAAAATGCACTAGGAAATGGGCAAACATAAAGAGAATTCACAGGAAAAAATACCAATGGTCTTAAAATATACAGTAAAATGCTAACCTTTACCCAAAGAAAAAAACACAAATTAAAAACTAGAGGACATAGATTTTCACTTAGATTGTCAAAGACCAAATGATCAGTCAGGGAAATAAGAGCAGTCAAACTGCTATAGTATTAAACTGGTCAAATCTATTTGCGGGGCAGTTCAGCATCTACTCCCTATATGCATATACTCGTTGATCTAGCAAATCAGCCTCTTCAGGAGTATATTCAATAGATGTAGTCACAAACATGTTCTGTAGAAACGGACATTTCATGGCAGGCGGTTCACAGTGGCAAACGACTGGAAACAGCCACACTCACCAGAATCAAGTGTCTGAAATCACCATGATATTCCACAATGGAACATTACTGCAGCTGTAAGAGGAAATGGAGCAAATCTAACTCTACTTATATGGACAACCTACTAGTCACCATTTTAAAGAAAAATCAAAGGTGTAGAGTCATACATGTATTTATGGAAGAAAACAGGGTAAGGTGGATGAATATACTCATATACATCAGACCAGCAGCACCTGGGAACTTACAGAAATACAAATTATTGGGCCCCACTCAGACCTACTAACATGAGCGTCTGGGGGAAAGAGTCCAGCAATCTGTTTTAATAGCCTTCCAGGTAATACTGATGCATGCTCAGGTTTGAGAACCACAGTGCTAGAGGATCTTTAAAGACACCCAGAAAACTGGAACAGGTGTTACCTCTGGGAGAATAAATAGGAGAGGGGCCGGAGTGAGACTCCTCACTTTGGTGTTTGGATTCCACCCCTCTCCCCCATGCCTATGTGTCACCTATCTATATCTATATATATAAAAGGCTGACTGACTGTATGTACCTCTGACCGCCCAACCACCCAGTACATATGACGCGCACTGGCAATTTAAAAATAAACGCTGACTCGCACATGCAAGATACATATAAAGCTCTTGCTGGCACCAGTTGCTCATGTGTGTTTTGATCTATCAATGGTCAATTGTGAATTTGGTTGTTTGCTGGCACCAATTGCTCATGTGTGTTTTGATCTGTCATTGTCAATTGTGAATTTGGTTGTTTTTGTTGACATTCTGAAGCTGAAAGCAGCATCATCAACAGAGTATGTCTGAAGACTAACTATTGGCATGATGTACCCATGAAGCAAAAAGAAGCCGGCGTCGTCGACGGAATGTATTGTGATTTTACTTTTTAAAAAATATTTTATTGACATTTTACAGAGAGGAAGGGAGAGGGATAGAGTTAGAAACATCAATGAGAGAGAAACATCGATAAGCTGCCTCCTGCACATCCGCTACTGGGGATATGCCCACAACCAAGGTACATGCCCTTGACTGGAATTGAACCTGGGACCTTTCAATCCGCAGGCCGACGCCCTATCCACTGAGCCAAACCGGTTAGGGCGAGTGTTTTTACTCTTAATGTGGTATTCAGGGAGATATCAGAATAAGTTTAATCAATTTATCAGTCATTGTTTTTATCAATGTTGTTTTTATGTCACGTCTTTGTTTTTGTTTATTAAATAAATTTATATATTATTTTCATATACATTTTACTAATTTTCTTTCATCTCTGACACTTCTATTATAGAGAAAAGGAAAATAGCAATATTAAAATATTTCTTCTAATCAATTTCCCTTCAAAGTGCACGAGAATTCATGCCACTAATTTTAAATAAAAATTTAACAGTCAAAACCTGCAAATTTGGTCCAAGATGGGTAAGAAATGAGCTCAGGGCTTCTGAAAAACTGAATTAGGAGTTTTGACTTACAGCACGATTCTTAAAATAACCTATTTTAGACCAAGATTTCAATGCTGAAGATAAAGCATATCTATAAGTGACCACACATGGTTTGGCATAGCAGATTCTAAGTCTGATGATAATGAAGTTATTTATTGAGTTGAAGTTTTAAAAAAGAGGAAAAGCTTTTTAGAGGTTTTATTAGAATGAGGTAAATTACCCTTATTGTAGAGAGTAACAATAAAAACACACACACACACAGAAAAAAGGCAAAGACAAAGAGAAAATTTGAACTTTTTTTTTAAAAAAGCACAAAATCCTACATACTAAAATTGTACACATCAAGTATTGGTCCAATCTTATATCAATCTATTTACAATTAAACAGCACCATAGTTTTCTCACCTAGGTTAGTTAAACATGCCCAGTATTTGTTATTCAAAGTATATGTTCCTTTAAAATAAACTCTTGAGAGCTTAAATCTTCAACAAACAAAAAAGACCTTCCACCAACCATAGATTATTAATGATATCACCAGATTTACTTAAGAAAAATAGGTTTGAACACTTTTTTCCCAATTGACAAATTTTGAGAGATGTTGCTGATTCAATGTGGCACACAAATGAACGAAAACTATTTAATGATGGGGCATTCACATACCTCCAACTCCATATATAAAGACTCCTTTGGAATTAATGCTGCTGCATCCTGTTGGATTTAGATTCAATTATCAGCAAACTCAAATTAAATGTAGCCACAATCATTCAAATAATTTCATTAAAAAGGGAAGTAGTTAAAGCTCTCAGAAACACGTGTTACAATGATAAATATTATACTAGGGGCCTGGTGCACAAATTCGTGCACCAGTGGGGTCCCTTGGCCTGGCCTGCAGGATTGCGCCGAAACCAGCTCTCCAACATCCCAAGGGGTCCCAGATTGTGAGAGGGCGCAGGCCAGGTCGAGGGACCCCACGGGTGCATGGTTGGGGCCAGGGAGGGACCGCAGGAAGGTTTCAGGGCATGTCTAGCCTGTCTCGTTCAGTCCCTATCGGCTGGACCCCAGCAGCAAGCTAACCTACCAGTTGGAGCATCTGCCCCCTGGGGGTCAGTGCACGTCATAGTGACTGGTTGACTGTATGCCTCCTGGTGGTCAATGCATGTCATAGCGAGTGGTTGAGCGGCCTTAGCATATCATTAGCATATTACACTTTGGTTGGTTGAACGGCCAACAGGTCAACTGGACGCTTAGCATATTAGGCTTTTATTATATAGGATCTAGCAGGCTATAGGAAGTTTAATACCATTTTGAACATTACCTTTAGACTAATTAGCAGTTTCATTTTGCCACTGAAATTAATAATGGTGCTTCACATCCAAATAGGTGTGGAGGTTTGATTATTTCCCTGCTGCAAACAGCATAAGTACCTTCTTCCTCTAATTTTCCATCTCATGGATTCTCAGGGGTACAGTGATCATGTGGTAGCCCCTTCTCTCACTGATGGAACCAACCTTGAAAAGGCTCCAAGTTAAATATAATCCTTGGCAGCTTTATTCAGTCACAGTACAATAGAATCAGGTTATCTCACTGGATTTTTCAGTCCTCTATAATCAAATCTGTGGATGGTTCTTAATTTGCCTCTTTGCTAGGCAAGAGGAGAGAGGAAAACGGTCATCCAGCATAACTCAGGTAACAGTGAACAGGAAAGCACTAAAGTATAAAGCAATGTTTCATCATTTGGTCTCACCGCTGATGTTAAAGTGACATCAGTAAACCTTTCATATTAGAATTTATGAGTCGAAATTTTCTTTAAATGACTGAACATAGGCACAATTCTCCTAGGCACAGATGGAATGGGTTTCCTCACACCCTTCCTGCAAATTGGAGGAGAAGGAGAATGACTTTATTATCCTACAGTGGAAACAGCTGTGCTTGGTTCCCTGCATTCCCTGGCCCAGTACCCATGCATTTGGGAAACACAGTTCTGAAAAGTTCCAAGCAGAGTGGAGAGAACAATTTAAGGTATTAAATAGTAGTGACCTTCTATGCCTGGATAGGAAAACCACTTTGTTATACACACATTTTAAAATACCTATGTAGCAAGAGAAAAGAGACTTTTCAACTGAGTATCAGTTGAAAATCAGAGATCTGATTGCACTGACTAAATTATTGCCTAGTGTTCCAGAGGACGCCTGCCACCAATGTGCTGGAAGGCATCAAAATTTAGTGTGAATGTAAATAAAAAACTCAACATATGGGGATGAGGAAAGCAATACTGAGACAAAATTTGCCAATCTCTAATCCTTAATGACTAAATATTAATTAAGCAAAGAATTAAGACCAGAATAGAAGCAAACCTCAAATACTGCTCTTTCCAGTTTCCATGCTAAAATGCTCAAGTTTTATCATTGTTATTGATGATTTTTGGAAGTTATATTTTATTTTTATAAAAACTCTGTATTCACAAGGTGCTTGGTGCTGTTCATTGATGCGATGTTCTATGTACAGTCCAAATCATTTAAATACAGCCATTACATAGTTGCTGAGTGTTTGAAAATAAATGGTTATCTATTTCTTAACTGCCCCTCAAATTAGAAATTGTAATTACATGAGTCTCAAATGCTAGCTCTTTGTGTTTTATTAATTATTTTTGTTGGTCTCCATCACAGATGGAATTTTTCACTGGTAATTCCTCAGAACTAAATCCATTATACGGAATTCAGAGCAGTGAAAATAAATTTCACGCCACAGAGTAGGAAACAACAATACAAAGGAGTGGGAGGGATCTGGGAACCAGCCAATAGGACCAGATCAGTTCTCAACTGGTGTTGGGTTTTGCAAAGGTTGGCTCATTATAACCTGTACAACGTAGTCCTTTGGGATCTTCAGCTCTTCTAACTTCATTTTGTCGGTGAGAGGTCTGCCAGAAAAGAACCACCGCTGACTGCTTGGTTCCACTCCCTCTGCTGAGTGGAGCCGCCTCTTCATGTGGTACACTGTGTCTGTGCTGCGGACTACAAGTTTGAGGTCTTTGCCAGTAGAAAGGCGCAAACGGAGCTGACATTCATATCCAGAATTAGGAGGTGGCTCAGGAATATCTAGAGTCTCTATGTCGCTCTTTTCCTCTATCATGTTGATAGGTGGTGCCAGGCAATAGACTGGAAGCTGGTATCTGTTTCCCAGTTCATCGTAGCACTCTGTAAGTGAACCTTCAGGAAGAAGATATGAGTAAGAATTTAATCTAAATAAACGCAGTTTTTTTTTATACCTTGCAAAATGCTCAAGCATCTCCTGCCATTATAGAGAAAAACACTAAAATAATGGCAGTCACTGTCAACTGACCATCAATAATAACGTCCCATCACCAATTTTTTGAATGTTTATCTAATTTTACATTAACCAGGGCTCTAGCTCCTTACCCTCATTTTTTTTTTTTTAATATATTTTATTGATTTTTTACAGAGAGGAAGGGAGAGAGATAGAGAGTTAGAAACATCAGCCGCCTCCTGCACATCTCCTACTGGGGATGTGCCCGCAACCCAGGTACATGCCCTTGACCGGAATCGAACCTAGGACCTTTCAGTCCGCAGGCCGACGCTCTATCCACTGAGCCAAACCGGTTTCGGCCTCATTTCTTTCAGGTCATTTCATACCTAATTCACACGTTCATTAAAGGATAAAGGAAAAGAGAGCACACAAAATTCAAATTTACTAATATCATTAATGCTTAGGCCAAATTAAGGGAGAGATTCAAATTGCACTGGGATATCTTTTCCAGAAAGAATCAGCTACCTTAAAAAAAGGAAAAGCAAAATAAAAGGATCTCTAAATCTAATTCACTACAACACAGTAGAATTCTAGAGTGGTTTTCTTTTCTTTGTTTTTTTTTTTAATATATTTTATTGATTTTTTACAGAGAGAAAGGGAGAGAGATAGAGAGCTAGAAACATCGATGAGAGAGAATCATCGATCAGCTGCCTCCTGCACATCTCCCACTGGGGATATGCCCGCAACCCAGGTACATGCCCTTGACCGGAATCGAACCTGGGACCCCTCAGTCCGCAGGCCGATGCTCTATCCACGGAGCCAAACCGGTTTCGGCTAGAGTGGTTTTCTTATTGCCTAGACTTTCTAAATCAAAGTACTTGGCCAGAGCCCTTATAGTCCAAGGAGATCACAAACTCGAGATGCCACTGGCTCATGGCTTATATACGAATCTCATTAGCACAATTACCAAAGGAATAATGGAGGTGTTTTATTAACCCCAATTAGTCAATGTTACAGAGAAGCTACGGGTTAAAAAGAAAGAACAAAATGGGTATTAAGTTTATAACCAGCTGGCGCTCAGAAGGAGGAAAAAAGTATTTATGGTTTAAAAGAAAGTATTAATGACTAATTTTTTTAATAACACATGAACTGCATTATAATTACTAGGACTTCTCCTTAGGGGAAGCTTGAAAGCATACTCAATAAATGTTTCATTGTAAGGCTACTCATAATGTGTCCTTTATGCAAACTGAAACATTAATGTTAGCTGATTTTCAATGTGGATAAAAAACATCTACCATACTCAAAACACTTATAGACAAGTTAATAAATATGGGGAGTGGCACACTGAGAAATGGTTATCAATGAACAAGTGAGTTAGTAAGCTGATCTTTATGGTCACATCAACAGGCTGAAAATACAAAGCATCGGAAATGAGACCTCAACAGTCACCAACCTACCATGGGTTCGATCGGGTCTGTCTTCTAGTTACAGAATATGAGCTGAGGTGAGCACTAAGTCACCAAGCATAACACCCATGTCTGCACCCTTTCCTCTGTTTAACGACATTGTTCAGCCTGTGCTGTTTACTAATGAATCTGAACACTGCTATTACATTGTAGAAATGGATATACTCCAAGCACAGTTGTGATCACCAGCAGTTCCCCACACTAGTAACTAAAGGTTGTCCCAAAATTCACGCAGTAAGTAATTTTGATAGAAAACACAGGTTTATAATTAAAAATTGTAAATTTTTTATTGATTCATAAAGTATACAGTATAGGGTTATGTATGGAATAGCATATTGGGTAAATGGCCTCCATGGCTTTGCAGGCACATACGCACTCTTTTGTTGAAATTTTCCATGACCGTTTTGCATAAATGTGGCTGAATTTCGATGAGGCTCATTTTCATCTTGATGGCTTGGTTAATCGACAAAATTGTCGCATTTGGGGTTCAGAAAATCCACGAGTGATTGTTGAGAAACAAATGCATCCACAACGTGTCACTGTTTGGT